TTTTTTTAAAAAATATTGCCCCGAGCAAGGTTGGACTAATACGTGAAACCCGTAACCTAACATATGAGATCGAGATAATTTTATTGAAAAACAGTATAAAAAAATCAATTGTAAAAAAGAATATGAAAAAAAAATCCAACTCAATCCACTCAAATCTTTCAAACCCATGACCTGAAAGATTAACAAAATCCCAATCAATAAAATGATGAAGGATGAAATAAAAAATTAAAGTTCCAATAAAAAAATTAAAACAAAACAAATAACAATTAAAAGAATAAAAATCAAATTTAACAGAAATAAACTAAACTAAAATATTGCGGGATGCAATTGAAAAAACAATTGAATTAAGAGAATGATATAAAATATTGAGAGATGCAATTGAAAATATAATTTAATTAAGAGAACAATTAAAAATAAAAAAATAAAATCAAAAAAATGGGGATCAGATTTGAAAGGTAAGAAAACCAAAGGAGGATTAAATTTAAAAAAGAATTCCAATTCCATGGATAATCTAAAATAAAATAAATAACAATTAAAAAAACATGGATCAAATTAAAAAAAATAAATAAATTGAAAAGTTGCTTTGAAAATATGTATGATTTGGCTCTAGAACCAAATAGGAGAGAGGAGAGAAGGATGAGAAAAAAAAAAGTTACCGATGCAAAACCCAACATATTTTTTTTTAAGACTTATGTCATGACCCATTAGAATCTAAGCCTAAGAACAACCTAAGAACCCAACCCAACCTATATATTTAAAGAAAAGGTTCATGGAAGAATTTGTTCTCTAAAAATAACAAGGAATTTAACTCTATTTAAACTTAAGTTTTTGAGTTTTAAGAAGGGTTACAAAAGAAAGTATCACGACTTTGTTTTCTGTTGTTTTTTATCGGGGATTTGATATTTAGTGGATTAAAAAAGTGTTTTAGGACTTTTATGAGTTTTAATATATTGATGATTTAAGAGGTTTAATTAATATTTTAGTATTAGTTTGGCCTAAAATCGTTTTATATGAAGTTTGGAATTTTTAGTTTTTAAGAATATGTAGAATTTTAAAAGATTAGCAAATTAAGATTATAGAATCTTGATCAACCGATCAATTTCAGCCAACCAGTTGGCTTAATGGTGCTAGTTGGCTGGTTAGTATGAATCGACTAACCAGTTGGCTTATGGTGGTGGTTAACTGGTTGACCAAGTAGTAGGGTTTGATTGGTTCTAATAAATTCAATTACCTTGAGATATGTTTAAAATGATTAGGTGGATCTATTTTAGCTTTATATTTATGTTTTGGTCTCAAATCTTAGAGTTATAGCCTTCTATGTTATCTACTTCAAGTTGTTTTTTAGTTTTTTTCATATCCATTATAGATTTTGTTTACATTTCTCCTAGTGCTTATTAATAGTTTTCAGTTCTATATCTGTTTATCTTTATTTTTTGAGTGAGATAATTTTTAATATGCATATAATATAAATAATATATATATGTTGATTATAGGATGAGTACAATTAGTAACTTCTTGAACACACACACACACATATACACACACATTAAGCATAATAATATATGGTAATAAAATACATGTAAAATATCAGACAAAACCATTGACTAATATAATAGATAAAACCTTAAGGTTTTGATAACATATGAAGTTTGTGGCTTCGATCACTATAGGAAGATTAGTCGTCACATACTTATGTCCTTTTTACTAGCTAGATATACAAAATACTATATATAAATTAACTACTTTTTGTTAGCATGAAGTTACCGACAAGTATTTTGATTTCAAGACATTACATATACTTATATGAATATCAAAGCAAATGAATGTCATATTAAATATAATTTAATTCAATAAAATGCTAGTGTGAAATCAAGAATGAATGAATACTTAGAAAATAAATCAACATATATCTAATATACATTTCATTACCCCCCCCCCCCCCCCCCCACACACACTTTTATATATATATATATAAGTGTATGTGTTTAAATGTTATTCTCTCACTGAATTGATTAATCTCACCCCTCTATTTTAATATTATTTTAGGTTTTTAGCTTTTATTAGAAGATTGATCTTTAATTAAGAGTTCCCATTATTTTATTTGTTGGTATGTCTTACTTGCTTTCGTAAGACTTTTTCCCATTATTTTATTTGTTGGTATGTCTTACTTGCTTTCGTAAGACTTTTTTTTTTTTATTTGATGTTTTAGATGCTCTATTATTACATTGTTTTCATTAAAGTTTAGATTTTTATTTCAAAGATTGGATTCTGTTCAATGTAATAAATATTTTGAATTATAAATTGTTTTATTGGTTTTAAGGAATATTTGAAAGATTATTAAATGTTGCATTAATTTTAAATATTTTAGTTTTATGATATTTATGTTTTGGAGCTTAGTGTGAGTAAGGTATCCCATAACACTACTCCTATATTACCAATCATGAATTTGAGATTCAAATCGTGATATTTTTTTTCCACATGCATTGCATAGGAATGGAGGCGACGTCATGAGGATAAAAATATCATCATAGAAATCAAAGTTTGGTTATCGAGCAGCATTGTACGCGTATTTCACATATCATCATATCATAGGAGAAGACACATGCAACTATCTTTTTCAAATTAAATAATATTGTATTTATGAAAAATATTAAACAACTTTAATAACATAAAAAAATAAAAAATAAAAAGATAAAAACACCTATTGACCCAAGTCAAACACAATTCTAATTCAAGGGCAGTGTGGCAATTTTATTATGTAACTAAAATGAAAAAAGTCAA